GTCTTGGGCTTGACGAGGTAGAAGCGCTTGGGGTTCCATTCTACGAGTGCGTCTTGCAAGTCGCTCGCATTCATCTTTCGGTTCAACACGAGTATGTCCAGGTCCTGCTGACGCTGAAGAGTTGCTCCACAAAACGATATCATGACGCACCTTGACCACTCGGTCCTTCTTGCCGTTGAGCCTGACACCCATTCCACCCACAAAACAGCTCGGTTGACCCAAGTCTCTGAGCGCGCTCATCACCTGCCGTGCTGCAAGCAAGCAAATGGCGTATGTTGGTCCCGACATTGTCTTGTGAACGCCTATTTCAAGGTCGTATATGACGGCCTCCTGCCACCGGCGTTCGTTGGTGTTTAATTCATAAGATCAAGGTCACCAATGTATAACCTTTAAATAACGAAATATAATTCATCTTAGATACAATCTCTAGTAAATCATTCTACAGTAATGTCCAAATCCAAAGTCCAGTCCATCTAAACATTGAACCCAATCACTCTAAACCTTTGAGCCGCTTCTGGACCGTAGACATCGCAAAATTCGGATGCGAGCTTGGCCAAGTTCCACAGACAAGGCCACTCGAGATAACATTCTTCGAGTGGCGTTATTCCCGAGGCATGTATCTTGTCACACAGAAAGAGAATGTCGGGTAGATCATTCTCGTTTGCCTTTTTCATTCTCCGGCCCTCCCAAGAGTAGAGCCTACGGTGCCACCCAGAGAGTTTGTGGTATAGCACAAAGGATATTGGGGCTATGTTGAGCGTGTTGAGAGATACAAAGCGGTTGGGAGACAGGGAATTGGGTATCTCGAGGTTGGATTCGGAGGGGAGTAGTAAATCTATCCTGATGGAATGAAAGGTTTCCGGTATCCGAAAGTAGAGATCCGTATGTGCTCCCTCTGGTTTCAAATAGAACAAGTTGGGATAGGTATTGATGAGTACCTTTTGGATACAGCACGTATGCGAATATGGATTCAGTACCAAGACGTCCAAATCCTATCATTTATTAGCAGATAACGTCGATGATCTGGTGGCCACTGACCTTGACCACCCTGCCCTGCTTGCCAAAAAGTCTGACAGCCATGCCCCCAACGAGACAGCACGCCTCACCAAACTCTTCTAGAGCCCCAATTACCACGCTTGCTGCCAACAAGTAATCAGCGTACGTCGCTCCTGTCGTTCCCCGCGCTTCGGTGTCCATTTCGCAGTCTGCTCGGGGGAGAATTGGTGAATGAATAGAGTCCGCCTGCCACCCGACCGTTGTCGCCTGCGGAATGGCAGGTGAAAATTAGTGTGCCTGTGATTGCGAATAACTGGACTTGTATTAGCAAAGTCATGAGAAGGATGGCCACGTACACTAGACTGGAAACCCGATGCGCTTAAACATTCGCCTCTCAAACCCGCCGTAAATGTCACAAAAGAGCTTTGCCCTCTCGGTGAATTTTTCTAGATATTGTCGGCCGAGGTGCGTCTTGCTGAGGGGCTGTATCCGCAGCTGGTACATCCTATCACAGAGATAGATGATGTCGGGATGGTCCACCTCTTTCGCTTTTTCATTGTTCCACTTTTCTTGTGCGTGGTAGCGGAGGTTCCATCCGAACAATTTGTGGTAGAGCACAAAGTAGATGGGGGCGACCTGAAAAGAGTGCAGAGAGACAAAGTGGCCCTTGTGGAACGTTGATGGGATCTCTAGTATGGGAATAGAAGACAGGAGGAGATCGACTTTGATGCTGTGTGGCGTTTTTGGGATGCGAAAGAAGAGCTTCATAAAGGTCGCCGCCCTATCCCTTGGCGGTACCAAGAAGAACATGGTAGGATATCTCTGCACGAGTGCCACTTGAATCGAACGACTATCCGCAGATGCGTTCAAGATGATAATGTCGAGGTCCTGTATCGAGAACATGAGTCGACATGACGTGATGATTCGCACAATCCGACAAGGGCGTTTTTGTACTCGTTCAAAGGTTGGAGAAAGGTTGATCGACGACTAACTTTGACCTCTCTAGCCCGTTTTCCGTTGAGCCTGATGGCCATTCCTCCGACCAGGCAGCACCAGGCTTCGCCTATCTCGCGTAACGCCGCAAGCACGAGTTGAGCTGCAAACAAGCAGTTGTCGTAGGTTCTTTTAGACATTGTTCACGTCTCTGCCTAACCAGATGTCGGGGTCGAAAATGGGGTCGACGAGAGGAACACTCTGCCACCAACATGTCAATATGAATCGACCGTTGACGCTGGATTAAAAACCAAATATTGATATCCGTTGTATATTTCCAAAGACGAACCGATAAATGATCATTACTATGTGAAAAGAAGATATTAGTACAGGAAAATTACAAATATGCAGCCAAAGTCCAATTATTCGAGCACTATCAAATTGAGATATTGGCGATAGTTATGAAAATAGCCAAGATGGAAGAGGGTACAAAGGCTTTGGAGCACGCAAGACCGGGACAAGTTTCAAAGGTCGCGTACAAGCAGGAAGAAAGTCGCGGTAGCAAGATTCTACGGTCTCTTTCTCATTAGGAAAGAAGAGGTGGTTCGGATCAGGAGAGTCTGAGAGGAGGTACTCGTCCCCATCAGCGGACAAGTGAATGGCTGGTAATAAGCCGGATACATCTCCCATGTCAGATTCTTCATCAGAGTAGTACTCTAGTTCGAACGAACCAGAGCTACTGTACTGATCATTATGGTAATATGACGAGGGTGAGTTGAATGCATGGCTGGTGCCTGACAGCCCAGTTGATAATGGCGAGGGTGTCGAAATGGGGGGAGAGTGTATATCATCACAGTCAATCATTTCGAATATGCTAGCAATGATATTTTTGCTCGCATCCTGGTTGGGCCATGGATCAGCGGCTCGTCCAGCCCAACCGAGT